CGGGGAGGGCCGCGCAACCCTGCCGCGAGCGCTGGTCTCCGCGGGCTGCGCGGGAGCCCGCGCAGAGCCCCCGCCACCGGCTGAGGTGTCCCCGGGGCTCCTGCAACATCCCAAGGCCGCGCTGCCCGGTGGCAGGTGCCGGGGGGGCACTGCAGGGCGGGGGTGGACCGTGAGCACCCCTCATCTGCTGCTGCACGGGTGCCCAGTGTCCCTCCTCTCTGCCCAGGGACCTGTCCCAGCCCTGCGGCTCTCCCTCCCTCCCTCCCCTTTCCACGCACTGACTCTCATATCCCTGGGCCGGGCAGAAAGTACCCGGCGATCCAGAGCCCCCGGGAGAGGGAGCAGTACAAGGCTGTCTTCTACGACCAGTACGCGGAGTACAAGGAGCTGCACAGCGAGGTCTGCGCCGCGCTGCAGAAGTTCGGGGAGCTGGACGTGATGATGTGCCAGCTGCCCTGGCACGCGCCGAGCAGGAAGGTGAGTCCCTCGGCGGGCCAGGCTGCGCATGCAACGCTTCTTGCAAGTGGCATTACGTGGAATGAGTTGGCAGGTCTCAGCGGGATCTTGTCCAGGTGCAGGCACCATGCAGGAGAGGGGTGTCTGCTAAGCCCTGCAAAGGAGCAGGGAGCAAGGCCTGGGCCAGGCTCTGCCCATGGTCCGAGCTGGCTGGACCCATCAAAGGGCTCCGAGCAGGAACAACAGACGGAGCCACAACCACCCTGCCAGGAAGCTTGGTCCCAGCGGGACCCGCTGAGACCTGGGTTCCTCCCGGGTCTTGGGGTAGAAACATCCCCTGTCGGCCCCCTTGGGCTCCTGTGCCGTCCCGGGGATGCCCGGCTCAGGGAGGAAGGGAGCACGACCTGGGGCCGCTGCTGGCCGCGCGAGCGTGGGCAAGGCCAGGCCGGGCCGGGGAAGGGGGTCGGGGCTGCGTCCAGGTGGGGAAGACCAGGGAGGTGCGGGGGTGCGGGACGCCGTGACCCAGGCTCCCGCGGCTAAAGCACAGGCCTTCGCCTTGCTCGAAAGGCATCGAGCCTTTCTCGGCCAGGCCCGCAGCAAGACGTAACCTTGCCGGACGCAGCTGGGAAGGCTGGTCGCCTCACAGCAGTGCGCAGAGCCCCATCCCGGGCTCGTTAGCTGTGATTGCCTCATTAGGGTCATCATCCAGAGCTTCTCAGGTGGTGCTTTGTGCCCTGCAGGAACAGCGCAGGGTGGTCCGTGTCTGGTGCGAGTACGTGAAGAAGAAGAGGGTGAGTAAGGGCTGGCATCCGGCTTTCCCACGGTTGGAATTGACCCCACATCGGGGAGCCCAGGACCCCTGACGTTGCTTCTCTCCTTCCCCCCAACGGTTTGGGGACCGAGGGGACCTGTGGGATCCCAGCCCCGTTGCTGACGGCCCCACTCTCTCCGGCCGGCAGGACTCAGCCTTCCTGGAGAAGCAGGAGCGCTGCGACTACCTGAAGAAGAAGCTAGTGCACATCAAGTCCCAGATTCGGGAGTATGACCGCACTGCCCCCAAGGGCTCTGTCTACTTCTGAGCCTGCGGGTGGGCTGCCCCGGCGCTGGTGCGCTCTAGCCTTGGCCCCGCGAAGCAGGCCTCCAGGGACGCGGGTTGCGGTGTGGCTCTGCCGGTGCTCCCGGCACCCCTGAGCCTGCTCATTGCACCCTGTTGGGAGTCGGTGCTGGGGGACAGAGGTGCCCGGGGTGCACCCGGTGCCCACCAGGCCGGGGCTCCCTCCTGGGCCTGGCCGTGAGCATTGGGAGCAACCCACAGGCTTGTGCGTGGGAGAGCAGAACCCGTGGGTGCCTTGGGCTAATTTTGGAGTGCTGCAGCCGGTTCCCGTGCCCCGGGGAGCCTGGGCGTGCACGCTTGCATGCGTGGTGGCTTTGCGGGGCACACCACCGCAGTGGTGGGCGCATCTCCACCTTGCAGCCAGCTTTGGGTCAGTGGGTGCAGCTATAGAATGAGCCAGAACTGTTTTTAATAAAATATGGTGATTTTTTAGGGAGGGTTAATGTGTACATGGGATGCTCCTGGTCCCCTCCCTGTCCCTGGTCATCACCCAGGAAAATGGCTGAAGCCAGGATGGGGACTGAGCCCTGGCCGCTCGCCTGTTCCTTGCTGATTCCCGGTACCAACAGGAGCCCCACACTGCTGCTCCAGGGTGCCCTGACGGGGCGAGGGGAGGAAAGCAGAGCTGCAGCCCCTGCCCCTCCGGGGTCCCCCCACCACCATGAGAGAGGCTGGGGGGATCCCAGCTGGGAGTTGTGCCCCCCCTCCAACAAGTCCCCTCTTCTTAAAGTGAGGAAACTGCTGTTCATTGAAATAAATATGCGGCGGGGCCGGGAGGGAGCAGCTGGGGCTGCCCGTGGGGCCGCAGTGCCTGCCCTGCACAGCGCGGGGGGCTGACGGCTGAGAACCGACAAGCTCATCACCGGCGAGGGCCGGGCGGCAGGAGCGGCCCCGCCCCCCGGGGGCCC